GGTGAGCTCCGCTGCCTGTCTGCGGGGCGGGGGGAGGCGGCAATCCGGGCAGAGCTGCCAGTAGCTCCTGCTGCTAGCGCCGCTGCTGCTGCTGCTCCTGCTCGCCTTTGCTTTATTACTGCTCTGGAAGGGGAAGAAGTGCCGGTGTCGGTGCCCAAACAGCTCACTGTCTACCCAAGGGAGCGCCCTGGCCAGGTGAGGTGACTCGGACGTGTTAAGAGACCCCGGTTTGTTGTGATGATGGTGATTTTGTTTCTTCTACTTACTGTGAAAACCTAGAGTTTGGAGAAATTGAACTGGTTTCTGCAGTTAAAGTCTGTAAACTGTTTTGTCTGTAAATAGACTGGCTTTCCTTGGTCTTGACTTCACACCGTGGCATGTATTAATTCAGAAAATTAAAATGAGGCTGAGATACATAGTTTGGTTCCCTAAACATTAAGATACGATTTTGAATACATTAAATGGTTTTCATAGCAGTTGACGCTTTGACATCTGTCATATAGCAGAACTTGAAAGTAGACTGTGCTTTAGATAGTATCTGTGATCTTTGACCTACGCTCATAGCGGTTCTCTTAAACATCAGTTGGAAATTCCCCATCTAAAACACTGGAATGAGAAGTTACAAGCTGTTTGCCCTTGCATTCAGGCTGCCCTGCTGTAAACATCTCTCTTTTGGGAACCTAAGGTTTTTTAAACTTGTTTTTGTTCATGCTTGCCTGTGGTGGCAGCAGCTCCCACGCTGGTGTGTACACAGGAGGACATACAGAGCATGCAAAGCAGTACAGCTTTGCCACGGTGTGGATAACATCAGTGGTACATAAAATGCAGCTTGCTTTCAAGATTTTTAAATCATTCATCTGAAATTTGGTTGAAATTCAAAGACTATAGCTGTAACAAACATCTATAGCCACTGATGCGACGGTGATGCTTAGAAATAATGAGCATTATGAACTAATTGGATAAATAGCTAGCTGGGCTTCATTCTTCTGCTAAACTTTGTTAATTTTTGTTTCCTTGTTTCCACTCTACCTTCCCTCTTTGGTTTGTCTGTATTTTTTCATTCTGACTAAGCTGGGAGGGGCATTCACACCACCGTACCTCTGGATATTTAGAGAAACCTTAGTTCAGACTCCAGGCTCCATATGATGATAAGAGAATTGCACGCATCCCTGCAACATGAATTTAGGCTGCTTCGCGCTCTGTGTTTTACAGAAATTTTGGTCAGATTAACCTCCTAACTCAGACGCCTAAATTAGATCAAGTGAATATGCTTCTCCTTTTAATTACTGTCCCGAGGGAATTGCGTTTTTTTTTTCCTCCTCAGTCTACACAAGATCTAGGGTGTGGGATGTGTCCCTGACTAGCTTGTTAGCTGCCACTGTAATATAAACAAAGAATATGTTCCCGTAGCACTAACAATAACAAAAATGCAGTAGCTATGGCTTGTTTGTGCTCATCACGGTACGGGGTTATCTACCGTAGGTGGTGTTCTTCAATCAGAGCTTTATGGCTGCTTATGTTTTTCACCATTCTTGTGGACAGAGTGAGATAGGTCATGGCAGAAGTGACCCGTGGATGATTTTGAACTGTGTTGTTGAGAAGGCTTTATTTATTGAGCTTCAGGTATTACAGTGATTGGGACCACGGCAGTTCTTACAGTAGGGTTTTTTAGAAATATTTCTGTTGTAGTCTCTAATATTGAAAAGTGTATTAATTTCATGCCATAGCAAAGTAACAGCTATGAAAAATGAAGCTAAGTTATCTAGGTGATAGTAATTCTTCACTGAGCTACTCACCTGGAGCTGGTGTGGAAAACGGGACAGCATTTGAAGAGTGAAAGGTGATATATGTGCTTTGCTTGGGGCATTATCAAAAAGCTTCAGACCCCTTGAAAACAGGTGTCTGTCAGGAAAAAACCTTGTCATTAGTTCCTGAAAGCAGCATAGTCCAGATCACTAGTTCCTGTTGCAAATTGAGACAGAGGTCTCTGGTCTGAGAGATAACCTGTTAACTAACAGTTTACAAGTAAAGTCTCTGCTTTTAACTCAAAAGATTTAGTTTGATCAGCATGTAAAATTTGTGAAAACAGCATTCCATGAGATGTTCTTTTAAAGTGCGGAGCTGTTCTCTTTGCCTTTTTAAAACTGGTTCAAAAGTTGGACATCTTTACTTTTAATGTTCATTTCTGGCCTAATTTCACTTGAAAGGAAATATCTCAAATATCTCAGTTTTTAAAATAGCTTTTAACTGCTTCCATTTGCTTTTATTTACGTAAAATGTAGTCATAGAATAATATCATTTTGAAGGGACTTCTGGAGATCATCTGGTCCAACCCTCACTAAAAGCACGGCCAACTTAGATCAGGTTGCTCAGAGCCATGTCTGGTTGTGTTTGGACTACCTCCAAGGGTGGAGATCCCACACACTCACTGGGCAGCCCTCTCCAGCTTGGTACCCACACTTGCTCAGACTGCATCCCATCCCGTTGCCCAGATTGTCAGTGAAGACATTAAACAGTACTGGCCATGGTATCAACCCCTGGGGAACATCATTAGTTCCAACCAGATGGATTTTGGATTACTGATCACAGCCCTTCGAGTCTAGTGGTCAAGCTAGTTTTCTACCCAGCTTACAGTCAAACCTATTCTAACTATATTTCACCAGTTTGGCTCTAAGGATACTGTGGGAGACCTTGTTGAAAGCCTTCGTTGAGACAAAACAAGCTGTTCTGCCCTCATCCACAGAGCCAGTCATCTCAACACAGAAAGCTGTGAGATGTGTCAGGCGTGGTTCGTCCTGGACAGATGCATGCTGGCAGCTTCCCATCACCTTTTTGTTCTTCAAGCATCTGTAGGTGGCTCCCAGGAGGGTTTGCTCCATAATCTTTCCAGGGACTGAAGTCAGAGTTAGCAGCCTTTTGTATTGTTGAACTGTCCCTCTTGCCCTTCTAGAAGATGGGTGTGATATTTGCCTTTTTCCAGTCATCAGGATCCTTGACCAGTCACCAAGACTTTCCAGAATCATAGAGCTTGGTCTTGCAATGACATCAGCCAGTGTTCCTGGCAGCACTAGTGCTGTGATTTGTTCCATATATATGTATGTAACTGCTGTACTTCCTTGTTTTCAAATTATTTTGACTTCCGAAAGCTGCTTTCAGGTCAGTGTAATGCCCCATCTCTTGGCAATGTATATTGGGTGATGGATCCTGCTATGTTTTTAAATTTTGGGGGGGAAGCTTGACGTAAACATAGTCCTTTTGTGAAAATTATAAGAGCAGTAGGTTGTTGACTTTGTGAATTTGTGGTGTTGCTTTTAGATTGGAGGGCTCATTTCATGTGGCTGAATGATGTGGGAAAGTCAGTGACCTTTCATTACCTTTCTTGTCTTAGGTGATGACTGGTGATTATAAAGATAACAAAGATAATGTAGAGCTAATTAGAGAATTCTCTTTTTTTATGACTGACACTGACCTATTTCGACCACTATCGCTTGTTAATAAAACACTTAACACAAAGTGTACTTTGAGGTTCAGAGGCTGACCCTAGGTATGGGGTGAAATAGGGTAGTTACTGTATTCTTTTTAGCTTTAAAAATCACATTATCGCCCTTTAACTTCACCTTTTAAAATTGCATTTTTCTTTTGTACCCTGATTGGTGATAGGTGATGCAACAGACTGTTTTGGGGGGAAGCATTCTTGTTAGAGTGCCTGGTCGGATTTCTGGAAGTGCTAAGCAGCTGTTTTAAGTGATCCCAGAATTTTCAAATGCTTAGCTGGAAATGTTGCAGATGACTGAATTGCCTCTGGAAATCTGTTTTTGACTCCTGATGGGTATAGAACTGGGAGCCTTATCTCTTCATGTAAGTTAAAGTTCCTTCCAGTGATGGACCAATGTAAGCTGAAATTTTAAGCCAGCTGTGAGCAGTGCCACCGGTAAAGCCTTTTCTGCAGCGTGGGCTGTCTGAATCTAATCAGATGTAAGCTTTTGTTGAAGTTTTTCTCGTGGTCAGTATGTTTAGAACTTCTTTCAGCCATGTGGATTCTCTGGTGTCTACTATGGGTACACAAACGTACAGCAGTCTTTCTCATTAATGGGGGCACTAAATTTGGTAGTGTCTTCTCTGTCTGGTTGCATGTTTGCCTGAATCTTGTAGGCAGTTAAGAGCTTTGCAAAGTGCACCCTTCTGTTAAGTTTGGTTCGTGTTGGATGATAGGATGCATCAAAGTACATATTAACTACTCGTGTCTCATACACTTAGAAAGCCATGCTAAGAATTTAAGCATGCTGGTTACTTGGTTACTTGCATGTTACTCCTTTCATTGATTAACTTGTTGACCAGGATTTTTTTTTTTTTTATTCTCAGATTTATTTAAGGATAAGTCTTTAGAAAACGAGATAGGTGATTTTATTTCATGAGGCGTCTTTGATTCTTCTTACATCCATTCATACTTTGTTTTATTGCCTATTGCAAGATTATACAAAGACTGTAGTAACTTGTTTTTCTGGTACTGTTGTGCCATTAGCACCAACTGTTCAAAAGGTGAGGATTAGGTCACATAAAAATTGTAGAAGTGGAGCTGATAAAATTTCATTTTTCTTTAAACTCAGAATGTTTAAGACTTTGTCAGTATGGGAACGCAGCCTGGCCAGGTTGGTTGCTTGGATTCTAGAGTTGAAGTAATGGATTGAACATTACTGTATAGCTGAGCACAGTGTTGTGTAAGTCTGATTTTCAGAACACCACATGAAATTCAAATGATGTAACATGATGACAGTAGCAGCACAACACATTGGAATTACCTAATAGAGGACAATTACCTGAGAACTATTTTTAAACATTTTTGCAGTTACAGACAGTTGAAAAAACATGGTTGATTCAGATAAGCCACAGCTCCTTTGGAACTGCGATTCTGAGAGCAGCCAGTTTGACTGGAGATGTTTCGATATGGGATGTTGTTGCTTCAGCTTCGGAAGTAGCAGATAATAATTCTGACCTGGCTCTTCTAGTGAAAATTTTCAAGGCTGATGCAAGTGGAGCTTGTGAAATGCTGTGGCATCAGTCATGAGTGATATCTGCAGTTAGTGATTCAACAGCATACACATGAAGTAAGGGAAGAACAGGAAATGGGAGTTACTCTTCTTTGTTTCTAAAAATATTACAATTGGAATGCAAAAAAATGACCTATTATGGCTATA